GAGAAACTGCTCGGTGAATAAATTTTACTTAGCCGGATGGCCTGAAGCCGTGATACGGAAAGGAAATCAAATCTGAGCTTGAGTGCTGTTATGTAACAATTTTGTAACGAGGTCATTAGCTAAATCTTGTAGTCTGCCCGGCAAAGAAGAATCTCTTCCTTTCACCAGTGGCAATACTGCCAGAAACTGGTACAACAAACGAAGTCATTAGGATCAGGCGCTTTTTTATGATTTTGCTGCCTTTGAAAAACGGTAAAAGAGAAAAAATCCGTCTCTTCCTGTTTACCAGGCTATAATGATAGATCAGGTGGTGGAAGGTGGCATTTATTTTGATAATTTCAATAAAATTAAAATTTAAAAAAAAAAAAATTTTGTCGATATTCAGTAATTCAGTTTGTGTCTATATCTAGGAGAAAATGGTTATACTTTCTGGTGAAGTAAATGTGACTAAAAATTAATCTAAACATATTTGCTTTTATACATGGTGTCCCAGAATAATGTGTACAACGAAAGACCACAGATTCGTGGCCTCAAAATAGGCAGATTTAAGCTAATTCACCTATATCCAAAATCGCTATTATTTTTGGGGTGTAGACTTTTGCTTTCAATCTACATATTTTGGTGTTATACAGAGTGTTTTTTAAAACTTACAACTCCTACAATATTGATGTAGGTATGGTGATATCCGTTCATAACTTTTTCCTCTTTCGGGCAATAATGACAACTATTTTTTATCTGATAGGTGATAACCATATGAAAGTTTTTGGCCTCTTGTAGAATTTTGTTGTACACATTATTCTGGGACACCCTGTATATAAAAATAGATATATTTTTGGTGCAAAACGGTCTAATCGAAAATATTTTCACTGACTGCAAGTACCATTTTTGTTTCATTAAAAAAAATGTTCATACAATTTTCGTTAAAAATGTATTCTCTCAAATTACCTACCTATATATTTTATAAACAGTCTACATTTAATTACTATTATTAATGATTTTTAGACAAAAATATACATCAAAATCCTAATCGTTGTAGCGTGTATTACACTATACGTTAAGGAGTGGTATTCTCATTATAAAAGCATTTTTTCATTAGTAGTTCCAGCAGCAAACTTCAGGACTGACGCAACTATTATCCAGTCATTTCGTGAGGCATTATTTTTATATCATCGCAGAAACAGAAATAAAGTATTTGGGAAATCATTAAGCAAGATAAGATTATTTGTTACTTATGTTGGACCAACTAGGTCAGGGAGTTTCAGAAATTCAGATGCTTATTTATTTCAGCATTCTCCAGTGAATGTCCATCGAGCATAAAAAATGTTCCAAAACCCATTTTCTTATACTGGCAATATAAATAGTACTGTGATATTCATTATCAAACTATGTCGACAAACTGGAATAAAAAATAATAAAATATCCTTTTGGTGCCACACAAAAATTTGCAACAGTGACATTGTAAAGGTTGTAACATTAGTTTTTCTTGCGTAATATAAGAGTTGTAAAATGTCAGCTTCACATTATGTACTGTACTGAAACCACATTAACTATAACTCACCTTGATGAAAGTATAATCAATCTTTAAGAACCATGTGTCTGCATGCAATTTTCTTCACGTGCAACCAGTATATTCATATAACACAATATTTAATTTATCTAGAAACTATCAACGCCAACACAAAACGTACCTTTATTTTTTGTACCTCTGTTGGTGGTAGCAAATGCTGCATATTTATAAGTAATTATCCACAGTACTGAGGTGTTAAACGAAGTAGAACACCAAAACATAATTTTTAATCTATATGCATATTGTTGGCACCTTAGATCTAGTTAGCTAATATTTTATTACGGATATTCAGCACCTACTTGTAGATTATGTCAAATGTTCTTACTTGTATGACTTATTTCTTGACAAAAAACTGTTTTAACTTCTTTTACATAATACAACTGACCTTTTCAATCTCGAAAAAGGATATTACCTTCCTACACAACATTAAACATATTTTTTTTGTACTCGTTTCATGTTTAACAGAATTGCCTGTAAAATAATAGTTGACAGATTAAGTCAGGGCGAAGATTGGTAAAGATTATTACATTTATGTAATTTATTAATATACCTTTTTCAGTATTAAAAATATATATATATAT